TTATGATGCACCTCTTACAGAGGCATCCGATTTTTCAGTGCTCAAGGTATTATAAGCATATAACTAGAGAACTAGAACACACATAGACAACCACAAATAACAACCAAACTCACGAGAGAAATAAATGTAGGCCATACAAATATTTCTCCAGCCTCGGGAGTCGAACCTGGGCCCTCTGCGTGGCAGTCCAGCTTGGTAACCGTTCGGCCATGGAGGCAGTTTTGATCGAGAGTGACAGGTATCTAAGTATTTAGTAAAGGTAGCACTTGTAACAAAGTACGTAAAAGTACATGAAGCTGTAGCAAGTAACTTGCGTTACATAGCGACCTTATTCGATGCAGTGGGTCAACGCACTCAAAGTACAGTATTGATTTTATTGCGCACGCCCGAAATATCAACGAGTGGATTCTGCGAGTGACCGTTGATTTACTGGCCGAGGATAAATTATATAGCTACGAGTATGGGCTCTATTATTCGCTTGATAAACGAGAATCCAACGGTTTTAGAATCATTAATCCGATTACATTGTAGCGTTTTATGTTACTGAGTGATGATGACAATATTTATGGTGGATAACGAGCGTTAATGTAATTGAATACTTTTACAGCTTGCCGTAAAATACGTATTTCGAACGTTATAAACAAATTTTACTATCTATAATGTGATTAGTAAATGTTCTATGGAGTTTCTATCAAGTCACAGCAGTTTAAGAAATACTTCACATACGGTATAACTTGGGTCTTTTCAAGGCGAGAGTGCATAGGCATTATTTAAGTGTGCATGCTCCATCGTCGAAGTATAAGAATTACTTTACATATGGTATAACTTGGACCTTTTCAAAGCGAGAGCATCATTCAGCCATAAGATGCCCTCTGCTGGGCATAGGCGTCCCCCAACGATCTCCATGACGATGCGCTGCCAGCATCCATCGGCTTCCCGCGACCTTTACCAGATCGTCGGTCCACCTGGTGGGGGGCCTATCCACTGAGCGTCGTCCGGTGCGCGGTCGCCATTGAAGAACCTATCCGCCCCGACGGTCATCGGATCTCCTATCTATATGCTCCGCCCACTGCCACTTCAGCTGAGCAATTCTTCTAGCTATGTCGGTTACCTTAGTTCTCCTACGGATTTCCTCATTTCTGATTCTATCACGTAGGGGAATATCGAGCATCGCTCTCTCCATTGCCCACTGAGTGACCTTGAGCCTTCTTATGAGGCCCATAGGCCCAAGATGAGAGCGAATAGGCATTATTTACATGTGCATGCTCCATCGTCGACTTAATCGCTTAATTGCTCGATGCCCTAGATGGACTGCAGCGCTACGCCTTCCGTGTTGTCAACGATCCTCATGTAACTGAGCATGCGGAGTCGTTACAGCTTCGCAGAGATATAGCGTCTCTAAGCGTATTCTATCGCCTGTACCACGGTGAGTGCTCTGAAGAGTTATTCAACCTTATCCCTTCCTCGCCTTTACATCAGCGGACCACCCGTGCCGGACTGCGTTGCCACAGTTGGACGGTCAGTTCAATACCATCCCGCACTAAAAAGTTTGGCAATTCGTTTTCATGCCGAACCATCAAATTGTGGAACCAACTCCCGGCGCATGTATTCCCTCCCCTCTATAACATCGGGTCCTTCAAACGTAGTGTAAAGAAGCATTTGGCCAGACCGGCAAAATGATAGTGACGGAGTGAAGATATTTGTGTTTTCCATCCGTTACTCTCATCTCTGGACTGTATTCGCACTTTCCATCAGACGCGGTGCAGTCAATTTGCCGAGTCACAATAAAAAAAATTAAAAAAATCGTCACTTGATATAAATACGCATTTCTTTTTGATGAAAAGTAATTGCCCATTTAGAGCAAAAAGCAAAGCAACTTATTAACAACAATTTTCTTGTAGAATCGAAGCTACAAAATCTCGATTATCGCAGAAAAGTAACCTGCTTGTCGGTTTTCTACCGGATATATTTCGGAAAGTGTGCGCAGGAACTTTTAAATTTAGTTCTACCCTCACCGTTCCTCCTTCGGTCGACTAGAAGGTCCGGAACACTCTATCGTTATGCCGTTGATATACCACCCATTCGCACTAAGCGCTTTGCTTTCTTCTTTCTAATGCGTATGGCAAAGGAATGGAATACTCTACCTATATTTTCCGAAAAGTACAATTTAGGACCATTCAAGGTGAATGGGCATTTTTTTAGGCAAACGCGCGCCGTCGTCGGTCACATCGTCGCTTAACATCAGGTGAGATTGTGGCCAAGGGTGTGTCTGTTATTCGTAAAAGAAAATAAAAGTAAAAAACGCACAGAAGCTAACAAATGCTGCTGCTACTTTAGGAGTATGACATCAAGATGATGTCGGTGTATATCCCACGACTGAAGACGCACTCAAAAATAACAAAATGTATCCCTTACGTACGAGAGCTTATTTTACTTTACGTAAAGAACACATAACGAGTATTATTCTCATATTAATCATCACGAGGGAATGGGTAAATCAAATTATGCCAATGGTATCTGTATCCGATACAGTGTTTGATGTATTAATAACATCGAAAGTAGTTTAGTAGCAAAGTGCTCCTTATGAAGGAGCACCTAACGTATTTCTGCCGCCAAGCAGTAACGCTCCGTTTCGGTTTTGAAGGGTAAGGATGCCGGTGAAATTACAGGCACATGGAACTTTCAACTTATGTTTCAGGGTGACGGGTGCAGTGGCAGTACTCTCAGATCTTTGCAATTTAAAGCCAGCACTGCAACTGTTGCGGGCAGGCGACTTGGACCTTTTCAAGGCGAGAGTGAACGGGCATTATTTAGGTGTGCATGCTACATCGTCGACCACATCACCACTTTCCATCAAGTGAGATGGAGGTCAAATGCGCACTTATATCTTATAAAAATGGATGGCGTTATGAATGGGCGTGTCCTGTTTTGGTATCCTAAAAAAACACAAGAGCATGGTTAGCATTCATTTGTGGAAGCAATAATAATATCAATATTCAATACCATGTTCAATGTGTTAATGAATTTCAATCCTGCTTTCACGTAATTAAATTATTATACCCTTACAAAGTGCGTGAGCACTTTGTTTCGTAGCGTGCCAATTATGTGATCGTGTTTCAGTTGACTTTGTTTCTGTGTTATTAATTACATTAGGTCGCATCCTTGGTGTCATCTGCAAAATGACGACATTTCAGGAGAGAGGTTTAATTAAAGATTCTATAAATGAAATAAGTCGATAACTTTTTACGCTTTGAATACGAGAGTTATAAAATGTCACATTATATATAATTTGTTTCATGAAGTACGTATTATTTTTCATGTGATAAAAGCACTTTTGAGTAACGATCACATGTGCCTTTATTATACCAATGTTACGTAGTATAGGTGTGGGCGTTTTGATGTGAATTTTATTAGTTATCAGATCGCAAAACCAAGCTTGTGTCCCTGTTCCTCGACCCAAGCAAAATGAATTATATTAGTACGGGAAAAGTTTGAATATATATAGTAGTATATAGTATACATGGTAGTATAGACTCCTAAGTCACTACATGCTCACCACCGTTGTAAGTGCTATAATCAATGATATTAAATGTTGGAATAAAAAGGTTACTTATCGCACAAATTACTGTCATATCGATGCCTTACTTTCAAACTCGTATCTTATATAGAGCGATTATTCAAGAGATAGCAAAACTTTCTATTTATTTTAAATTCCTTATTAAGGTTGTTAATTTGCATTACTTTAAGAATAGGTAAAATCCAGTGTGTGAATATGAAGGAAATGTGATGTGAAATGAGACTGCAAAATTTGTATATACAATGTGCTTAAGATACGAGTTTGACAAAGTAAGGCGATAATATGTAATATTGAACAGACCTTTTTATAAATGGTTTTTTTAAGAAACCAAGTTACGGGAAGAACAAGTCATATGTCGGATGATAAGCGACACGCTTTAAATCGCAAAGGCCTAAGGGGCACTGCCATTGCGCCCGTCATCCTGAGACATAAAGTTGACAAGTCTCATGTGCCTGTAGTTGAATCTTAAAAAAAACCTTATTATACCCTTTAAAACTTAAAAAAATGCTCACGTTACTCCTTGGCGACAGATATAGGTAAGGTGGCACAAGAAGCTCTCCTGCTACTAAAATCTACTGCGATTACAGAGACATCTACAAGTTTCAAAACACGTTTTATATACGTACTAAATAGATTTTTTTTAAACGTATTATTCCATCTCCTGTAAAGATTTAAAAAGTGGACATAGAAGGTTTCAGGAGTGAAATGACACTATAGAAATCGAATAGACGTCTATGTCTAACTGTTTGTCGCTCACTGATGATTTTTGTGAACTATTTGGCACAAAGATGGAAAATAGTGGTCCAATTACAGCCGCGTAGTATTGAAAATTCAATATGTCATTTTGGGGACTTGTTTTTAGAGTAAATTTTGTTTCAATGTCTCCAAATGAAAGCTTGTTAAAGTATGATTACAAAATATGCATGAAACTTACATAATTTATTCCTTGTATAATATAATATCAGTGTTTTACTTCTAATAATTTATTTGGTGTTCAAAACAATCAGGCATAATAAATTAATTTTGAAAGAAATATGGTATAAACTTCCCATACAACTCATCTTAAATATAAACGCACACATAACGCACACGCTCAACGTAGCCTCACAATATGGCAAACCCTGTGTCGCGGGTGCCATGAACACATACATAGAGAACAACAAATTACACCCAAACTCACGAGAGAAATAAATGTAGGCCTTACAAATATTTATCCCGGCATGGGAATCGAACCTAGGACCTCTGAGTGGCATGGTAACCGTTCGGCCACGTAGGCACTTAATCTAGGTCCTAATTAGCTCCCTTCTCTAAATATAAAAACATGATTGATTGCAACATTTCTGTGTCACGTGACTGTTTCCTTACTCACGGCTCTGAATCATTTCATAATGTACTTATTCATCTCATATATGTATTTTCGCAGGTACCAATACCCTTATTGAAGTGGATGGGGATCGAACTGCACTCAAATGCAACACTTTCCACTCAGACAAAAAGTAAGTACGGCCTCATTAGTACAGTCTGTGCTTATATGCAGTGTTGAGAGCTCTCGATGGATCCTTCATCCTTCTCCAGCTTTTGTTTCTCGTTATTCATTCCATGATACCATGTTTACTTTATGTACTCAGCGAGTAAAATGTAATTTTACAAAACAAGACAGGTAGATCCCTCAGTAAAGGCCCGTTTATACGAGTAAAGCCGTTAATCAAGTGGATATTAATTGACTAATGAGAATTCTTGTTTCGAAGAAAAGGCATCAATTAAACAAAAGGCAATTAAATTTTTATTGAATGTCAGAATGTTTCACCACCAGGAATTTCAATTATTTTTTGTGAAATTACTCCACTCGTTTGTTATAATTATTAAAACAAAGATCGAACATTAGAAAACATTCCTTTGATCCGGCCGGATGTGAACCGACGTCTTCTAGTAAACCGTGCCAGATGCTATACCAATTAAGCCACGGAACGAACCAGCCGACCTCACGAATTTTTTATACGCTTATTGTCTGATCATTGTATTTCGTTTTCAACGACTTTTTAACATTAACGCCATCTATGAGAAATTTTTGAAATACTAAAGGTAGTTTGGAATTAATTCAGATAAGTCGGTCGTAGTGCCTAAATAGTTGTGGTTCCAGCTTTGAAATGAGAATACGGAAGGCTCCGGCCACAAGATTAGTAGAGAAGAAACCAAAACGGGCCTATATAACTACGAAATTTTATTAGTAATTAATGTAAAGTTTTACAATAAAGAAATGAAGGTGTTTTATGTTTTGTGGGTACGTCAAGTCGTTTCAAGAATTTTGAAGGCAGTGATGACGTATAGAACAAACTCATATTTCCAACGGACACTTCACGCCAAGTTAATTATTTAGTCATTTTCTGTTTTTAATGTAAACATCCTTATTTTATTTACTAATATTAGGTTCCCCGAATATTGTGACAAAAAAATAAAGAAACTAAAACATAAATTCGAAAAAAAACTAATTTTGTGAAAGAAAAAATAAAGAAACAAAATAAAAAAAGAGATGATGACCAAAATATTAAGTTGGTGTAGTGTTCATTGGAGGTATCGCATGGTAAGAATAGTTAAGAAAAAGGGAATTCGACAACAATTCAAATAAAAAAAGTGGCCTGGAACCAAGAGGATGATAAAAACGTGGCATGACGATGAAGGAGGACAGCATATAGTAATTAATACAATCATCATGGATTGTATTATCTTCTGGACGATAACGACTTTACATATAAATTTGGATCATGTTTCCATATGTTACTCTAAATGTAATGTAATATACGGAAACATGCTCCAAATTTATATCTCTTATTTTATTTCAGCTTACGCTACTCAAATATTAAATAATACTTCGTGATAATATTCTACACTATTTAAATAATAGGAATTGCCACCAAAATTAGATAGAGAAAACTAACCTGAAATTTATCTACTTACTTATCTTACTAATATACAAAAATGAAACTTTTTCTGTGTGTTTCGATCTTCATGTTCATAATTCTAACAAAACTAGTGGATAGGAAATGAAACTATTTTTCCGGATTTAAATCAAATCCGGACCGAATCAATCAAACATACCGACGTTTCGGGCCCTTTACAGGTCCCATGGTCACAGTTGACTGAGTCAACCGTGTCCATGGGACCTGTAAAGGGCCCGAAAAAAACAAATATACGCGATTTAAATCCGGAAAAATAGTTTATTTCCTATGTGTAACAATCGCGAAAACCTAAGAACTCAATAAAACTAGTGGAGTTATTTCACAAAAAGTCTTAATAAATTTATTTGATCTTAAAGCGACATCTGCGTCAGTTATGATATCTGTAAAGGTATCGACTGCCGTGAGATGGTTATTCAAACAATCTCTCACTAGATGTCACTAGCGGCGACAGTGTCAGTATAAAGATCTATAACAAAAACACAGGATAATTTCGACGACTCGGTAACTGGACTTGTGGCTCAGATGTTTAGAGCAATGCTACAGCGCCATATGTATTCGTCATGTATGTATTCATAGTCTTTTTTTATAATATCAAGTGATGGGACGAACAAGTAATGCGCCTGATGGTAAGCTACACGCCTGTCCATAACAGTTGCAGTGCCACTCAGAGCTTTAAATCGCAAAGATCTGAGAGGCACTGCCACTGCGCCCGTGACCCTGAGACATAAGTTGACAAGTCCCATGTGCTGTTATTTCACTAGCACCCTTACCTTTCGAAACCGCAACACAGTAATGCTGACATTACAGCTTGGCGGCAGAAATAGGTAAGGTGGCAGTACTTCCCTGGACGAACTCTTTCACAAGGATCTCAACTGCTACTAAAGTGGACCTGATGGTATACCGGCACGAGTATTGAGGTTTTGTGCGCCAGAGCCGACTCCTGTGCTGATGCGTCTGTACCGCCTCTCTCTCAAAACGAGAATAGTTCCAGAATCTTGGAAGCTTGCAAATAAGCAACCAGTCCCCTAAAAGAGAAGCCGTGCCAACCCCTGCAATTACTGACCTATCGCCATTACTTCCATACTCTGTAAGGTATGAGAAAACTTTTGGATAACAAGCTGCTATCATACCTTGAAACAAACGACCTACTCAGTGATCGTCAATATGGTTTTCGCCGGGGACGATCGGCTGGGGATCTTCTCGTGTATGTTACGTACTGCTGGGGCGAAGCCATGAAGAAACACGGCGAGGCTCTAGCTGTGTCATTCGATATCTCAAAGGCCTTTGACAGGGTTTGGCACGCAAGTCTGCTGAGCAAGTTTCCCGCTTACGGCATTCCTGCTGACTTTTGTAGCTGGATATCAGCTTTCCTTGATGAACGGTCAATCAGAGTAAATATTGAAGGCTGCTCGTTTGTCTTGATGGCTATCGATGCCGGAGTTCCTCAGGGGTCAGGGGGCCTACTATAACCTTTCCAAAAGCAATCTTATTTCAATATAAGCTTAAAGTAAGCTTATTATAATATTACTCATATTCTTACCATGACGAACCTGTCAACCAAGTAATCGACTCTTAGTACCTAATGTTATTTACATTCAGAGAATTTTGACCGCCAAAAAAAGAAAAGTGTGTAATAATAAAATCTATTAAAATTACGTTGTTTTCAATAATTATTCCGCATTTTCATGAAGAAAAATAAATAAAACAAGAGTCTTGATAGTTACGTTGATAATTCGGAACTATAGCCTAGTGTGAACAGTTAGTTTCGCCAAGGAGCGTATAGATGACGCTGTTATAATTTTACCAAATAAACATCGCGTATTTTTATTTAAGGAAAAATTATTTACTATGTCCTAATAAATAAATATAAACAAAATATTGAACAGATATATGTAAATAAATATGTTCAACTTAATTTTTAATCATTATAATCAAATCAATATTGAGACAATAAAACTGAAAGTAATATTGTTTCCTTACAAATCAATATTTAGACACTAAATTCGTAAATAATATTGTTTCCACTGCATCCGTGTAACTATTTTAAGATTGCTAAATTTCACATAATAGCAATATTACTTTAATGTTAAAGTCGCGTCATAGTACGAACTGAGTGAATGAATAGTCACAAAGCTGCCAATAAAACATCATAGTTTTAACATTACAATAAACTTACTTTAAGCGCGTTATGGTACGAAAAGTCAATGTAAGGTTTAAAGTAATATTGTTTTAAGAGGTAGTGGTAGGCAACAGGCCCTAACCAGAACCAATTTCTTATGGTAGGCCCCCAGTTCTCTCTGCGACTCTTTTCCTGCTACACATCAATGACCTGCTAGTCCCAGGTATTGTTGGGTATACAGATGGCAGCACTGTTACGGAGAGTATCTGTCCAAAACAAAAGACAGCAGGGTAGTTATCCCTTCGTTGAGAGAGGCCATGGTGGAGCGGATGAACTTGACTTTAAGTCTCGTCTCTCAGTGGCGAGATGATAATCTGATCGAGTTCAACGCCACTAAAACTCAGGCCCGTCTATTTTCTGCTAAATGGAGTCAATTTGATCTGACTCCCACTTTTCGGGGTATATATGTATCTCTTACCGACAGCCTGGATCTCCTTGGCATAACATTGAGCGCAACCCTTAACTTTGGGGCTAATATTGATTGTAAAGCACAAATTGCAGCCAAAAAACTGGGTATCCTTAATAAGGTTAAGCGATATTTCACGCCTGGGGGTCTACTCTCGATCTCCGTCCGACATCCGTCCGAAACAATTACTGCCAAATAAGCAATACTTGACCAAATGAAAAGACGCGTGATGCGAATGAAGCTTCATACTTGACACTTGTCTTTTAATTTTGTCGAATGTTACTTATTTGACAGTAATTGTTTCGGACGAAGATCGAGAGTAGCCCCCCTAGACAGCTCTTAACTTTATATAAAGCATAAGTCCGATCTTGCATAGATTCCATCTAATCTGGAGCTCATCCCGCCCGCCCCCTTTTACCATCGGACATCCAAACGTACGGCGGGAAATCATCTATCTATCATCTTGGTCGATATTCCCTTCAGACATGCTAAGCGCTTTTCAGCATTTTTTATTACTACGCACAACCCAGGAATGGAACTCCCTGCTTGCAACTGTGTTTCCGAACTCATACAACCTAAATATCTTTAAGGTGCGACCGAATTGGCATCTTCTAGGCGAGCTAGTTCCATCGTAGATCTTATCTTTGCTCCAGAGCTAGGTAGTGGTCAAAAGCAACTTAAACTGTGAGGCGGCCAGTTTTGTCCGTTTATAACTAAAAAACCATTGAACCAATATACGTGAAATTTGGTAGGTTAATTTCGATCTAAAACAAACTGACATTTACAAACTTGTGTTGGCGGAACAAAAGAGTCTTTACAGTAATACTTCCCTGTATGCATTCGACGTACAGTCAAATTTCTTAAGCGGTTGACAGGTGACAAGATCAAATACACCTGACTACAAGAAAAACAGCTGAAATTGAGATCCGCTAACGCCACTCTCAGTATTTAGTC